TAAGCTAAATCTAAGCTAAAGCTAAGCTAAAGCTAAGCTAAAGCTAAGCTAAAACTAAGCTAAAGCTAAGCTAAAGCTAAGCTAAAGCTAAGCTACAGCTAAGCTACAGCTGAGCTACAGCTAAGCTAAAGCTAAGCTAAAGCTAAAGCTAAAGCTAAAGATAAAGCTAAAACTAAGCTGAAGCTAAGCTAAAGATAAGATAAAGCTAATATAACGCTAAGCTGACGCTAAGCTGACGCTAAGCTGAAGCTAAGCCAACGCTAAACTAAAGCTAAGCTAAAGCTAGCTAAAGCTAAGCTAAAGCTAAGATAAAGCTAAGCTAAAGCTAAGTTAAAGCTAAGCTAAAGCGAAGCTAAAGCTAAGCTAAAGCTAAACTAAAGTTAAGCTAAAGCTAAGCTAAAGCTAAGCTAAAGCTAAGCTAAAGCTAAAGCTAAAGCTAAAGCTAAAGCTAAAGCTAAAGCTCCCAGGGGACTGGGGGAACCGCGGGGCGGGGACTGGGGAAACCGCCCGGGGCGTGTAGCACTGCCCGGCCCCTTTAAGCTAACAGAGTAAGAACCCTCTAGGCAGAGCCTAGGTAGGGAACAAATGGCTCGACGGGGGCGAGAAGCGCCACGAAGGCTCCCGAAAACCTCCGCGGAGGGGCGGACCGAAGGGGGGCCGAAGGGGGCCGCCAGGCTCGCCGTGATCGTGGTTCATCCTCCGGTCTGCCATCGGGGACCTCCGAAGCGGGCTCGCGCGCGGGCGCGCCGCTCGCGTGGCCGAACAGTCGAGGAGATTCGGGGATGGACAGAACCACATTCAGTAAAACGTGGTTTAGTGAAAACTACCTCGGGCCCAAACCTGGCGGGCACAAGCCTGAAAAATGACGGCCGCGGCGTCATCTCGCGAACCGAAAGCGGACAATTCACTAATCGACGTGTCAGGGTGGGGGTTCTGTCCACCCCCGAGAGACGGGGCAGGAGGATGCCCGTCGCACGGCCGGCCTACGCGCCCTTCAGGGTGGCTGGCCCCTGCCAGACAGGGCTGGAAGAAGAGACAGCCGCGCAAACATAAACTCGCGGAAGCGCCAAGGAGGGGTCACCACCAGCAGGGTCGCCACCTCCTCCTGGAGATCGGGGATCCAGGCTGAGGAGAGGGGGGTCGAGGACAGAGGAGCACCAGGCTTGGCGCGCTTCTGCGCGTGTCTTGGAGTCCATAGGGGGGTGCTTGGGCGTCCAGGGGGGGGCCGTTTCCTGGAAGAGGTGGCGACACCCCCAGGCGGCATCCTCCTCCTCCTCCTCTTCCTCCTCCTCCTCCTCCTCCTCCTCGTCCTCCCCTCCTCCTCCTCCTCCTCCTCCTCCTCCTCCTCCCCTCCTCCTCCTCCTCCTCTTCCTCCTCCTCCTCCTCCTCCTCCTCCTCCTCATCCTCCGCCCTCCTCTCCTCCTCCTCCTCCTCCTCCTCCTCCCTCCTCCTCCTCCTCCTCCTCCTCCTCCTCCTCCTCCTCCCCCTCCTCCTCCTCCTCCTCCTGGTTGCACTGCCCAGGAAGAGGGCCCCTAGGTGGAGACGCGTCCTAGGAACTCGGGGGGGGGGGGGGAATCGAGACGGGCCCCGGGGGGAGGGGCGCGAGAGGCAGCCAGATGCCTCCAGGGGGCCTCGAGCTCGTCTACGTCTTCGTCAGCGCAGTGCTCGAGAGGGGAAGTAAAGCTGCGGGAAATGACCGCGAAGCATCACATGATATCGCCAGTCCTCAGCGTGGGTGTCTGGGCTACCGCACGGAAGCACCAACACCAAAACTGACGAGGTATGCGACAGCGCCAATGCTGAGCCATGCTGTGGAACCGCCCACTCGAGGGATCCAAGTACTCTTTCGCGGCAGGACCCCCTGCCTCCTGGAGCCCCCCCTGGACCCCAGGTTGCATATCCACCTTCGGCGGAAGGCGGTCTTTCGACGGCGATCGCCGACCTTTCGAAGGTGATCGGCGGTCTCTGGTGGTCACCGCCAGTCTCAATCGGCCCTCTGCGCGAGAGCCGGATTGCGATCGACACTGCTTCCACAATCGAGCACCCGAGGTCGGTGCTCGGACCCGCCTGCGTTTCCCCCAGCCCGCCCGCGACACCCCCTCTCCCCCCTACACCCCCCCTTCGCGGTATGCGCTCGGCCTGTCATAGCTGTCCGAGCCGACCCCGTCGACCAGCGTGAGCACATCCTGTGGGCGGAGGAGGAACAGGAAGGGACGGAGGACGACCGAGATCGGCCCGCGAGGCGAGGGCCCGAGGACGTGAGCATACCACACATTGGCGCGGCTCATCTCAGAGGAGCTTGTTGCTCTCGCAAGCTCCGCGCGCGTCCGAATGGCGTGCACCGACGGGGGCCTGCTTCGAGCAGGCGTGAAAGTGATAGAGTGGCGGCCTCCGCATCGAGCAAGTTCGAAGTCACCACTGCCGTTTGGCAGCGATGGTCGTGCGCGCGTGTGGGGTCGCAAGGGAGCCTGCTGCACACTGGGGAACGGAAAGCGGCCCCAGCGGCCATCGACAGAGCGCACCGCAAACCAATAGCACGCGGGAGCGGGCCAGCAGCCACCGCGCCCGAATAGCAGCAAGGGCGAAGAGGCGGGTCGAGGAGGAGGAGGTCGGCTGTAGGGGGCAGGGTTGGGAGCACGACCGCGTGCACATCGAATGCACCAGGGGAAAGGGACGACTTCCCATCCATGCAATAATTGGCATTGTCCAGGTTCGGGGCCGCAAACTGTCACGAAGCCGCATGGAAAAACTGTTGTTGAAAAGGAGGCGTCCCCCACTACTGAGATTAAACATATCCAGGCACGTGCCTCTGCCACGGCATCCTTGTTTGTGTTCTGCGTGACTGGCCCTTGGTAGCGGGTTGGAACCGCTCTCGCCCTATAGGGCTGCATACACATCGGGCATGGGCGGCGGAGTCCGGCAGTTGTTCTCCCTCACGGGGTTCCACACACACACACACAACGTGGCTCTCGGACCACCCCAAAGGGATCCACACACCGGCGCTGCCCCACAGGATCCGAAACCACCGCGCAGCCCACTGCGAAACCAACGATCAACCACCAAACAGCCCACGCCAGAACACACCGCAAAAACCACGCAACCCACCCCTCCCAACCACGCAAATCACTGCGCGAGCCACCGCCAAAGCGCAATCCAACGCACAAACCGCTGCCCAACCCACGAGAATCCTCGCACGTGGGGCTCCACCCACACGAGGCTACACACACATACACACGCACACGCACACACGTGTGTATATATATGTGTATAAACATACATACATGCATGCATGCATGCATACATACATACATACATGCACACATACAAGACTGCAGCGGCGCTTCGCGCCATGCACCTTGGTCCTTGAAGTTTGGCACACAGGCGGAATAACAGGAAGGCCAAGCCGACAATTTAGCGATAATTTCTTGTTGCCTTTTTTTTCCGGCATCGCCGCTATAATAATGTTATTCGCTATCCTTCCCCCATGCTTCTTGTTCCCCATTTTCGCCATACCCTGCGCATTCCCCCCATCCTCGTCAGCCCTTTCTGCGGAGGCTCCTCCTTGGAGAGCCTCTGGGGGCCGCGCAAAAGTTGCTTCACGCTTTCTTAAGGCCTTCGGGAGGCCTCCTAAGCGTATTCTGGGGGCCTCTGGGGGGTTCCTCGGGCCACCCTGCCTCCAACCGTTGTACCCGTGAACGACCGGGTCACGTTTTGGAATGCTTCAGAGGGCGTCTTGGGGCCATTTTGGGCCGCCACGGGGCTGAACGCCATCTTGGACCCGCGTTGCGCCTTTTTGGGGCTCTCTTGGACTGCCTGGAAGCCGTCTCGGATGGTTGCGAAGCGAATATGGAGCCTCCCAGGCGGCTTCGGACGCCCAGGAGACCGCCGTTTTGGAATCAATGATGTGTGCCTCTTGGGGCCTTCTCGGGAGTGCTCTCGGAGGCCTCTTTGGGGCCGTCCTGGAGGCCTCTTGGGCCATCTTGAGGTCGCGTCGGTCACTCTTGGAGCGTTCGCGTTGTCTTGGGGGTCTCTGGGGCGTTTCCGAGGACACCCCCTGCTCGCCCTAGGCGCGCTGGGAAGGTTTGGCAAGACGCCCTGCGAGGTCCGGGGGGCCGCTTCGAGGCCCGCGTTGAAGGTCCCCAACCCACAGATCTCGGGAGTCCGGTTTTGAGGGGGCCGGGCATATAAAAATATTGAAAGAGGAATATAAACGCAGTCCCCCCCCAGCACCCACTCTTACCAGCTTTCGCTTCCTATCGTCCTCCCCTTCTCTTCCTGTGGAACGCCTTTGAGGGGCAGCGCGAGCCCTGCTCGAGTGGCCATGCGGGCCAAGCAGCAGAATCGTCGTATAAATGTCGCGAAGACGAACCTCAGAAGCCTTCAGTAGCACGGCTGGTGTGATCAGTTGACTTCCTAAAGCAGCCTTGCGCCCTTCCCGTTGTCGTCTTCCTCCTCATCCTCATCCCCATCCTCTTCTTCTTCCCACTCCTCATCCTCCTTCTCCTCATCCTCCTCCCCCTCCTCCTCTTCCTCTTCCTCCTCCTCCTCCTCCTCCTCCTCCTCCTCCTCCTCCTCCTCCTCCTCTTCCTCCTCCTCCTCCCCTTCACCCCTCACCCATGTCCCATACCTGTTCACCCATCATGATGATGATTGTGGTGGTAATGGTGATGTTGATGACGATGATGGTGATGGTGATAATGAAGATGATGAAAATGATGAGGATGAGGATGAGGATGATGATGATGACAAAAACGATGTTGATGGCGATGATGATGATGATGATGATGGTGATGGTGATGTTGATGCTGATGATGATGCTGATGGTGATGGCGATAACGATGGTGATGCTGATGATGATATGACGAAGACGAAGAGGGCGATGAGGAGGATGGGGAGGAAGACGTTGGTTCAAGATTTCGGGAATCTTCCTGGAGGGTTCAATGATAGGTGGGGTTCAAGAATAAAGACCTGGATGCCCCATAGATGCCCCTGCATGGGCTATATAGCTCTGGCGGCATCGAAAACACATTAAACTTTGGAACACGAGCGGGACTGGCAGCGCCTGCCAAAATGACTACAGAAAGGAATAATGATGGATGGGGAGGAGAAGGAGGAAGAGGAGCAGGAGGAGGAGGGGGATCAGAGGGGGATCATGATGATGATGATGATGAGGAGGAGGAGGACGAGGAGGAGGAGGAGGAAGCGGGGACAAGCTAGATGCGCTCGCGTCATGCCTGACGTCCGACCCCTCCTTCTAATCCCTTGCCATGGCGTAGATATCTTCTCTATTCGCACAGCCGGATGTCGAACGGGGGCAATGCTCGCGAGAGGGTACGCGATGCATGGTCGAGCACGGCATGGCATAGCGTAGGGGAGCACGGCAGAGCGTAGCATGCCAAAGCATGGCGTGGCAATGCGCTGCATCACAAAGCATTGCAACGCGAAGCGTGGCATCGCACAGCGGCGCAGAACACACCACACAGCATGTCATGGCATGGCGCCTGGTTCCTTGGAGGGTGAGTGGATCGTCTTCGAGAGGTCTGGGTCAGTCTGGAGTCGCGTCTCCATGTCTAGCTCCTTGGGCTAACCGATAAGCTCCACGCAAGGCGGGGCTGATGGAGAGCACCCGCTGGCTCTGCTTTCAACATCACCTTCTCGAAACAGAAACGGGGTTCCCGCTCGATACTTCCTGGAAACGGCGACTCCCCCAAAGTGGGGGGGGGCTTCTGCGGCCCATATACTCAATGAATCGATATCGGACTTACTATCGCTTCCGATGTGTCTTCGGTTGGCCATTTTCTAGATCTGGCGGATTCTGATGCCCCTGCGATGACCTTGTTAACCCCGCCGCTACTTTTGTTGCTCTGACCTTTAGAGGGGCCCTGTGCTTGATTTTCGTCGAATGAGAAGAGAATCCCAGACGCCCAACGCAATCCCTGTGAAAACGCAGGGTTCGCGACACCACAGGTACGGAAACCCTGTGTTCATTTAGATTTGGGGGATTTCTGATGCGAAAATCAAGGACGTTAAATAGTTTCATTTGGATGTTGGTGAATGTTGTGATTTTCACCCTCCAGGCAAAATCAATCCAAGAGCCTCCGAAGCTTCAGAACCTTGGAAACAAAAACCATAATGAAAACGCAGGGTTTGGCGACCCCTGACGTCGCAAACCCGACGTTGCCATCTGGATGTTTAAAATTGCTGGTACTTGTCAAGCTCTGAAGTTTCGGAAGCTCCTGGCGTGTGTCTGGAAGATGAAAACCCAAAAAAAAACACAACAACCAAAAAAACATGAACACGCTGGTTGTCCTTGAGTTTCAATACAGAAATCCAAACATCCAAATGAAAACACAGGATTTGGCGGCCCCTGACGTCGCAAACCAGGTGATGCCACAAGGATCGCTGCCCCCTCACCCTCCACCTGAAGCTTCGGAAGCTCCTGGATTGTGTCTGGAAGGTGGAAATTCTGGAAATCCGCAAAATCCGAATGAAAACATAATTTCCCTTGATTTGCATGACAAAAATCCCAAAACTCCAAATGAAAACACAAGGTTCGGCGGCCCCTGACGTCGCAAACCCTGCGATTCCACAGGGATCGCTGCTCCCCGAGTGCGCATGTTGGTGGGTAGGACCTTCAGGCCGAGTTCCTCCTTTGCGGAGGACGGCGTTCTTTCGCAGCCCACAGTGCACTCTGGCAGATCGCGCGCCACACGACTTTCGGAGTTGAGAAAAACGGTCGATGCTTTAGGGGGAAGAGAGAAAGAGGAGAGAGAGAATGAGAGAGAGAGAGAGGGCCGAGGAAGAGGATGGGGAAGCGAAAGCTGGTAAGAGTGGGTGCTGGGGGGCTGTCCGAATACCTATATATATACACACACCTATATATATATGGGTTGGGACACACATACATACCCACATACATACATGCATACATACAGACATACATAAATTAATTCATACATAGATACGTTCACGTATACATACTTACATATATACATATGTTCACACATACATACATACATACATACATACATACATACATACATACATACATACATACATACATACATACATACATACATACACATACATACATACATACATACATACATACATACATACATACATACATACATACATGCATGCATACATACATACATGCATATATGCATGCATACATACATACATGAATACATGCGTGCATGCATGCATACATAGATGCATACATGCATACATGCATACATGCATGCATACATACATGCATACACACATATATACATACGTACATACATGCATACATACATGCATACATGCATACATACATTCCTACATAGATATGCACATACATACATAGATACATACATATGTGTATGTATATACACATGTATGCATACGTACACACATACATGCATGCATGCATGCATGCATACATACATACATACATATATACATGCATACATGCATACATACATACACATATGCATGCATACATACATAGATACATAAATACATACATGCATGCATGCATGCATGCATACATACATACATACATGCATGCATGCATACATACACACATACATATACCTACCTACCTACCTACCTACCTACCTACCTACCTACCTACCTACCTATCGACATACAGACATACATACGTACGTACGTACATACATACATACAAAGTGTTACCAGCTCGCTGCGCTGCGCCTTTAAAATACTGGTCGCATGGCGCCACGGAGGCGCGATGAGATCGGTTGTCGCCACAGCCGCGGTGTGTTCTGGCCATGTAGGGGACATTGCTGCTCAGAGAGCTCAGACGGGGTCTCTGCCGTCATGGGGCCCAGGGGCTCGGAGCCCCCATTTTAGGCGAGGGGTAATACTGCCGATGCGGCTCCAGGGGGTCATGAGACTCACAGGGTTCACAGGGCTCATGGGGTTCGCTGGGGTCATGGGACTGTTTGTGCACATCGGGCACGGGGCTCATAATAAAGGTCATGGGGGTCATAGGAGGCCCATGGTGCTTATAAGGGTCCTGGGGCTCCTTGGAACCATCAGCTCTTGGGGCCCATTCGGCTCATAGAGCTCGCAATGCTCCTGGGGGCCATAGGGCCCATAGCGCTAACAGAGCACGTAGGCCTCGTAGGGCTCATGGGGCCGATTGGGGCGAAGGGGCAAGTCGGGGCCATAGGGCTCATATGGCCCATAGGCCGTATACAGCTCACTGGGCTCGTAGGGCTCAGCGGGGGGCCTCATGGGTCTCGCAAGGCATCACGGCTCCTAGTGCTGAGGGGGTTCTAGCGATCATAGGACGCATAAGCCTTATAGGGGTCATCGCGCTCATATGGTGTCATGGAGGGTCGGAAGGGGGGGTATGGGGCTCGGCTCATTGAGTTCATGGAGCTCCTGAGGGCTCGTGAGCTCATAGAGCTCATGGGGCTTCTAGTGCTCATCAGCCTCAAAGGGCTCATCAGACTCATGGGGCTCATGGAGCTCGGAGAGCTCATGAGCTCGTGGGGATCTTAAGGCTCATTGGGCTCCTTGGGCGCATTGGAGTAATAGAGTTCGTCGCCGCGCTCGCCATGTCCAGCGCGTCGGCGTCCCTGACGTCGAGGAGCCGCTTCTGCCTCAAAGCCCTTGGCAATATCACAGCGCGGGGGTGCGGCGACCGCCTCCGGAGACACGCCGCTACGAGATGCCCCACGCCTGCGACGGTTAACGCCAGCCGTGTCACTCGGACCTGGCCCAATGACTTCAGCGAAGGGAATAGACGGATATAGTCGCCTCGTACAAGTGCAGCGAATAGTTGGCCCATCAACGCAAATGCTCTCGCACACCCACTCGGGCAGTCAACCTTCGATGTGATGCCTTGAGATTTCTCTGGCAATAAAACGACAGCTGATCGAAGCTGCGCTGTTGACCACCTCGCCTCGGCTTCCGCTATATCATTGCTCCTGCGCTTGTCCGCTGACATTTGGGCCCCTCTGTCCACTACTCGGAACAACGGAAATAGCTTCCCGCTCTTCCGTGCGGGACGGGGCGGGCGGGCGGGCGGGCGGGGCGGTTGGATGTTCTCGCAGGGCGGGCGGGCGGCAACTTCCGTGCGAAATGTTTCTAAACGCCTGAACCCACATGGCTACGGATCCGCTCGCGTCAGGAAATGAAAGCCTTCGCCTCCGTGGGCCCCTTCCTCACCAGGGATGGGCGCGAGCGCCGGGTGCAACAGGGACGGGGCCGAGAGCTCCAGAAGCAGACAAAAACGGAGCGGCGAAACACCGCAGCCAGAGCTCCATACTCTCACGGGAACCACACTCCCCTCCTCTCAGGGCTCACCGATAGACGACTGGAAGGGGGACAGGAGGGGGGAGGCGGAAGAGGGGAGACCAACTGATGCCCGCACGGGGCCAGCCCGCGCTCCTCCTCTCCACCGGGCGGCAGCGACGACACCATGCTCCTGCTCTCGCCTGTCGCCTCACCGACAGCAGGAACTCCCCCAACCTACTTTGGGCAAGCACCCAACAAATCGGGTTTCTCCCTCCTGCTCCTCCCCCTCCTCCACCTCCTCCTCCTCCACCTCCTCCTCCTCCTCCACCTCCTCCTCCTCCTCCTCCTCCTTCTCATCCTCCTCCTCCTCCTCCCGTTCCTCCTCCTCCCGTGCCCCTCGGTCCTCCTCGGTTGGGGCTGCCGCGTCTGCTGCTAGGCCACCCTGGGTGGCGCCTGCGGGAGTGGGGGGCGGGTGTTCCTCCTCCGCACTCACCGCTCCTCGCACCTCCTCGTTCCTCATCACTCCTCCTCGCTCCTCCTCGTTCTCCTTGTTCCTCCTCGCTCCTACTCGTTTCCACTCGCTCATCCTGGTTCCTCCTCCTCCTCCTTCCTCCTCGCTCCGCCTCGCTCCTCCTCCTCCACCTCCTCATCCTCCTCCTCCTATTCTTCCTCTTCCTCCCCATCTTCCACCACCTCCTCCTCATCCATCCTTTTCCCTTATGAATAGATCCTCCCTGTCGCACCCCGAAACGTGTAGGTAAGGCGGGCGGGGCGTCTCGCATGGGATGTCCTCACGATTTGCACGAGCTTCACGGATGGAGGGCAAGCAGTTTTCAAACTGTAGCTCTCGTCTTGGCGCCGCAGACATTCGTCTACACGTTCGCAATAGCTTGACGGATGGAAGGCGGGTGGACCACAAAAGGGGCGCCGACAACCACAAGAGCGCCGAAAACCAAGGAGGCGCCGAAAACCAAAGGGCGCCGAAAATCAAAAGGGCGCCGAAGCAGGAAGAGGCGCCGAAAACCCAAGAGGCGCTGAAACCCCAAGGGGCGCTGAAAACCCAAGGGGCGCCGAAAAACAATGGGGCGCCGAACGCCAAAGGGGTGCCGAAAACCTAAGGAGGCACCGAAAACCACAAGGTCTCCGAAAACCAAGGAGGCGCCGAATGGCAAAAGGGCGCCGAGAACCAAAAAGGCGCCGAAAACCAAAATGGCACCGAAAAACCAAAGGGGCGCCGAAAACCAAAAAGGCGCCCAAACCCAAAGAGCGCCGACAACCAAAAGGGCGCCGAAAACCAAAAGGGAGCGCCGAAAACCACAACAGCGCCGAAAACCGAAGGAGCGCCGAAAACCGAAGGAGCGCCGAAAACCAAAAGGGCGCCGAAAACAAAAAGGGCGCCGAAAACCAAGGTGCCGCCGACAACAAGAACGACGCAAAAAAACCATAGGGGCGCCGAAAACCAAAGGGTCTCCGAAAACCGAAGGGGCGCCGAAAACCAAAGGAGCGCCGAAAACCAATGGGGCCTAGAAAACCAAAGGGGCGCGGAAAACCAACGAGCGCCGAAAACCAAAGGCGCGCCGAAAAACAAAGAGGCGCCGAAAACCAAAAGGCGGGCGCCGAAAACCAAAGGGGCACCGAAAATCAAAGGGGCGCCGAAAACCAACGATGCGCCGAAAACCAAAAGGGCGCCGAAAATCGAAAGGGCGCCGAAAACCAAAAGGGCGCCGAAAACTACAGGGCGCGCGCAAAACCAAAGAAGCGCCGAAAACCAAGAGGCGCCGAAAACCAAAAGGGCTCGAAAACCAAAGGGCGCGCACAAAACCAACAAGGCGCCGAAAATCAAAGCAGCGCCGGAAACCACAAGGGCGCCGAAAACCAGAGTGGCGCCAAAAAACAAAGCAACGCCGAACAGCAAAGGAGCCGCCGAAAACCAAAGGCGCGCCAAAAACCACAGAAGCGCCAAAAACCACAAGGACACCGAAAGCCAAAGTAAGTGGCGCCGGAAACCAAAAAAATTGGAAAAGTAGCTTCGAAGCCCTCCCCCCCCTTCGGCCAGGGCCCTCCAGCTGGAAATACCAACAGAGTGTCTCTCACTGCATGTCTCCCTCATTCCTCCCCCTCCTCCTCCTGATCATCCTTGGTCTCGTTTTCATGTTCTCCAACTGCAAAATCCAGACAGGGGGGGAGCTTCGAAGGCCCCCCCCCCTTGGAAAGGGGAGCCCGGGCTCGCCCCGTGCCCCGCACAGGGGGGGAGGGGGGGCAGCTTGGGAAGCCCCTCCCCCCCTGTTCCAGGGGAGGGGGAGGTAGCTCGAAGCTGGGGCCCCCCCTGTCTTATTCCCGTCGCTGCGTGTGTGCTCTTTCGAAGCTCTCCTGGGGTGCGTCTCGACCAGAACTCCGAAGCGGATCCAGCCGCAAGTAGCGGCGAAAACTTCGAGGCGGATCCAGCCGCAAGAAGCGACGAGCCCAGAAGCCTCGACTCGATCCTCGTTCCTCGTTCTTCTCGCGGCTCGATCCTCATTCCTGGCGCCACCCCCTCTTGCGCGCCGCTCACCAACAAAAACTACAAACGAACGACGTCAGCCTGGCGAAGGGCCCATGCCGCGAGCACCGCGAGGCAAGCGACAAAAAGGATGGGGACGAACAGAGAGACGGACTGGGACGCATGTCCTGACGAAGGCGGCGCTGTGCAAACCCTCCCACTGGAGCCTTCCGTGGAGCTCCCTTTGCGGCCGCGACCCTCGTGAAGGTTCTGCCGAAAGGGGTGGGGGGGGATGGGCACATGCAGACGCTGCCACTGGAGCAGTCGGTGGAACTTCCGATGGGGGGCACGATCCTCGTGAGGGGTGTGTCGAAGTGGGCGGCGGGACGCACGCGGACCCTGCCACTGGGGCCTTCGGTGGAGCTCCCTCTGAGGCCACGATCCTTGCGAGGGGGGTGCCGATCTGGGTCGGGGGGCGCATGCGGATCCTGACACTGGGGCCTTCGGTGGAACTTCCTATGCGGACACGATCCTCGTGAGGGGTGTGCCGACATGGGCGGGGAGACGCATGCGAACTCTGCCACTCAGGCCTTCGGCGGAGCTCCCTCTGAGGCCACGAACCGTGTCAGGGGTGTACCAACATGGGCGGGCGGGCGCATGCGGACCCTGCCACTGGGGCCTTCGGTGGAGCTCCCTATGGTGGCACGTTCCTTGTGAGGGGTGTGCCGATATGGGCGGGGGAACGCATGCGGACCCTTCCTCTGCAGCCTTCCGTGGAGTTCCCTTTGGGGCCGCAATCCTTGTTACTGGTGTGCGGAAATGGGCGGGCGGACTCCTGCGGATCCCACCGCTGGGACCTTCGATCGAGCTCGCTGCGGGGCTCGGAAACCTGTGAGGGGTGTGCCGGCATGAGCTGGGCGACCACATGCGGACTGTGCCGGTGGGGCCTTCGGTGAAGCTCCCCCTGGGGCAACCAAGCACGTGACGTGTGTGCCGGAATGGACGTGCGGAGGGCAGAGGCAGGGTGGTGGTGGGACGATGCTGTGGGCGAGTGCCGTGGCCTGCTGATGCAACCTGCCGCTACATGATGCGAGAGAGGTGGACCCCGGCTTCTCAGGGATGGGAGGAGGGATGTGAGGAGTGACGCGGGGCGCTGCCTCGTCAAAACGAGGGCCCAACACCGCGGGCTGGTTGGAAGAAAATCGGCGGCGAGCCTGGAGGGGAAGTGAGAAGGGGCGGGCCTGCGCAGAAGGCTCGGAAGTCCGCCGGCCTTCTGAGAAGTCTTCTAAGCCCTCCCCAGAGACACAAATCATCCTGGCGAAAGACCCAACCATGCGCAGTTGTGGGTGCCGCTTTCGGTGGAGCTCCCCATGGGGCCACGGACCGTGTATTGGGTGTGCCAATATGGGCGGGGGGACGCATGCGGACCTTGCCATTGGGGCCTCCGGTGGAGCTTCCTATGGGGCCCCGAACCGTTTGAGGTATGCGCCAACATGGGCGGGGGGGCGCATGCGGACCCTGCCACTGGGGCCTTCGGTGGAGCTCCCTCTGAGGCCACGATCCTTGCGAGGGGGGTGCCGATCTGGGTCGGGGGGCGCATGCGGATCCTGACACTGGGGCCTTCGGTGGAACTTCCTATGCGGACACGATCCTCGTGAGGGGCGTGCCGATATGGGCGGGGGGACGCATTCGGACTCTGCCACTCAGGCCTTCGGCGGAGCTCCCTATGAGGCCACGAACCGTGTCAGGGGTGTACCAACATGGGCGGGCGGACGCATGCGGACCCTGCAACTGGGGCCTTCGGTGTAGCTCCCTGTGGTGGCACGTTCCTTGTGAGTGATGTGCCGATATGGGCGGGGGAACGCATGCGGACCCTCCCACTGGAGCCTTCCGTGGAGCTCCCTTTGGAACTCCCTTTGGAGCTCCCTCTGAGGCCACGAACCGTTTGAGGTATGCGCCAACATGGGCGGGGGGGCGCATGCGGACCCTGCCACTGGGGCCTTCGGTGGAGCTTCCTATGGGGACACGATCCTGGTGGGGGGTGTGTCGAAGTGGGCGGCGGGACGCATGCGGACTCTGCCACTCAGGCCTTCGGTGGAGCTCCCCCTGAGGCCACGATCCTTGCCAGGGGGGTGCCGCTATGGGTTGGGGGACGCATGCGGATCCTGCCACTGGGACATTTGGTGGAGCTCCCTATGGGGCCACGAGCCGTGTGAGGGGTGTGCCCAATTGGGCGGAGGACGAATGCGGACCCTGCCACTGAGGCCTTCTGTCGAGCTCCCTATGAGGCCACGAACCGTGTCAGGGGTGTACCAACATGGGCGGGCGGACGCATGCGGACCCTGCCACTGGCTCCATTTGCGGCCACGGATCGTGTACCGTGTGAAGGGTGTACCAAAATGAGCGGGGGGACGCGTGCGGACCCTGCCACTGGGGCCTTCGGTGGAACTCCCTATGCGGCCACGAACCGTGTACCGTGTGAAGACTGTGCCAAATTAGGCGGGGGGAAGCATGCGAATCCTGCCTGTGGGGCTTTCGGTGGAGCTCCCTACGGGGCCACGAACTGTATGAGGGGTGTGTCAAACTGGGCGGGGGGACGCGTGCGGACCCTGCAACTGGGGCCCTTCGGTCCAGCTCCCTATGGGACCACGAGCCATGTGAGGGGTGTGCCAGTGTGCCGAAATTGTGCACCTGCGGAAGGCAGAGGCATGCTGCTGACGATTGCGATGATGATAGTAATGATGATGATGATGATGATGATGATGATGATGATGTTGATGATGATGGTGGTGATGATGATGATGGTGATGATGATGATGATGGTGATGATGATGATGGTGATGGTGATGATGGTGATGATGATGATGATGATGATGGTGGTGGTGATGATGATGGTGATGATGATGACGATGACGATTATGATAATGATGACGATGATGATGATGGTGATGATGAGGATGACGAAGATGATGATGGTGATGATGATGATGATGGTAATGGTGATATTGATGATGATGATGATGCTGATGATGATGATGCTGATGCTGCTGATGATGATGTTGATGGTGCTGATGATGATGCTGAGGATGATGGTGATGGAGATGAGGATAACGATGACGGTGAGGACGCGGAGCGCGGAGTGGGAGGAGGGGGGAGGGGAAGAAGAGTGAGTGAGTGAGTGAGTGAGTGAGTGAGTGAGTGAGTGAGTGAGTGAGTGAGTGAGTGAGTGAGTGAGTGAGTGGACGCGGGGCGCCGTCTCTTCAAAACGAGGACCCAACACCACAGGACGGTTGGGAAGTGCTCCTCAGAAGGGCCGGAGGCCCCCTGAGAACTCCCGCCGCCCTCCGAGAGGGCCTCCTCCTCCTCGCTTCCCCCCCTCGCCCGCCGCCGAGACGGGGAGCGCGCCTCCGACATCCAGCCCAGCGCGCTGCTGCCGCGGCACCGCGGCGGCGGGCCCCTCGGAGGCGCGATCTGCGGCGAGCACCACGCCGCCCAGGGGCAGCACCTGCACAGCGGCGGGCGCGCGACTCTGCTCGCCTTGCCTCGGCTGCGGTCGGCAACGCCTGCGCAGCGTGCCGCGGCGGCCGCGGCACGCGGAGCAGGAAGCACCTCGCCTGCGTGTTTCGATGTCGAGCACCTATTTTTTTTTCGCAGGATGATCCGAGGTGCCCCTCGAGGCTCCGCGCCGGGAGAAGAAGCAGAACAGCAACAACAACAACAACAACAACAACAACAATCACTTTACCCGAACGCTCAGTGTTCTCACCAGTGCCAGGGTTTTCATGCGACGCCAGCCAATACCCCCACTTTGTGGGGGGGCAGTGCAAGCTCTACCAAATATCCACACGACTCTTCGCCACCACCCACACCCAGCTTCCCGCCCTATGACGTTCGGACACTTCACTTCGTGGCCTGCGGACGACCGTGGCTACTACACTGGCGTGGAGTACACACCCACAGAAGTTGTTAAGCCTACGTTCGTACACCCACAGAAGTTGTTATGGCGCAACCGCAAGGGATTGTGGCCCCTGGCAGGCGCGCGAACCCCGTTGCAAGAGCGTGCGAAAGTAGCTCGCGCGAGCTCATGTAACATAAATGTTGGAAAACCATTGGTTTTTTTTAGGATTCGGACAGCGCGCGCGGGTAGAAATTTTGAAAAGTCGTGCAGGTGTTTTTCGAGGACCTACGGTGCGATTCGTGTGATTTTATGATGCGCGGTGCTAAAATTCTTAAGAAGCCCAATGGTTTTTGGAGATTTCGGCGTGCGCGCGCGAAGAAAAAACGAATGTGTCCCGCATGGTATTATTTGACAGGGATGATGGCCCTGGCAGGTGCGCAACCGTTGTCGCAGAAGTTCGAAAAAGTTGCTCGCAAAAGCCCGTTTGACAGAAATGTTTAAAAAGTGTTGGGTTTCCTACGAATCCGCAAGAGCGCGCGGGATGAGATTTTGACAATTTGTTGTTGAAAAACCATTGGTTTTTTGATGTTTTTATGTTAAAATCGCTGCGAACACTAAGGTTTTGGAAGGATTTCGTCTTGCGCGCGCGAATGTCCACTTTACCTTATTTTTTGCAAGGGATTCTTGAAATTTGATTATATTAGAACAAGAAATGTCATTTTCTATTGTTTTTTGCAAGGGAAAGCGGATTACAACAAAACAACCGGATCCTGTACACACCCTCTTTTCTGAGGCTTCCTCACGAAAATGATGAAAATGTAGCTGCGGCCTAGGCGGCGCAGGGGGGGCGCGCACCAGGGGGCCCAACAATAATTATTCTTTAGAATAAATAATGTTCAACAACAACAACAACAGCAACAACAACAACAACAACAACAACAATAATCTTAAGACTGATCGCCCTTAGATGCTCGAGTATCCAATAACGCGTATTTCCCAAACCCTCGATACCCGCCCTCTTCGTCTTCGATCGAACCCCTTTTGGGGGGTATACCTTTCTTCCCTGCAGGCCGCGCCCCAGCAAGCGGCGGGGCGGCCGCGGACCGTCGGCCTGGCCAATGGCAGCGCTGATCGGCGGGGCGGCCACGGACCGTCGACCCGACCCCAAGAGGGACGGACAGGGGACCGACCACGACGACGACGACGACGACGACGACGACGACAACGACGACGACGACGACGACGACGGCGACGACGAGCGAAAGCGAGAGCGAGAGAGAACGACAGCAGGGCCACGAAGGGCACGAAGTAGGCCACGAAGGGCGACAGCGGGGACACGAAGGGAATGCGTATGGGGCCACGAAGAGCGCGAACGAGCGGGGGCCACGAAGTGCAGATAATGCGGGGCCACAGAAGGCAACTATGGGGCCACTGAGGGTAGCAACTGGGCCACGTAGGACAGTGAGGGGGACACAAATGGCGACAGCGGGGCCACGAAGGGCATGCACATGGGGCCACAACGGGCGCGACTCCTGGGTGCCTGGGTGTCGGGAGCGCGGCGCTTGGGCAAATTGCAAGAAATTCCAACGCAAGGCCATTCTTCAGTAAGTTGCAAGCAAGTCTCCAGCGAGAGCGCGACTCCAGAGCGCCGGGAGAGCGATTCTTGAATAAATTGCAAGGAAGTCGTAAGCGAGAGCGCGATTCCTGAATAAAATGCGAGGAAGTCTCGGGCGGGAGCGGGGGTCCTGGCTAAATTGTGAGGAAGTCTCGGGCGGGAGCCGTTGTTGTTGTAACCCGGGGGCCAGGGGCCCAGTTTGAGCAGGAAGACTATCCCTGTCAAAAAACAGGGTGCGAGCGTCGAGGGGCAC